CCAAGCCACCAGGAGGATTCCCTGCTGCGCCCCACCCGTTTGGTGTCCCAGCGGGCCAAACCGTACCTCATCACCATGGTCACCTCGGCTCCCGCCAATCAGAGGGCGCGCCAGGCCATCAGAGACACTTGGGGAGGGGAGGTGGAGGTGAGGGGGCTGCGGGTCATGACCCTCTTCATGGTGGGCGTGGTGTCCGACCCGGGTCTGTCCAAGATGCTGATAGAGGAGGCCCGCGAGCGAAGGGACTTGGTTCAGGGACGTTTTCTGGACTCCTACTCCAACCTCACCCTGAAGACCCTGTCCATGCTGGGCTGGGCCCGCAGGTTCTGCCCCCAGGCTCAGTTCTTGGCCAAAGTTGACGACGACGTCCTCTTCAATCCCAGCGCGCTTTTGCACTACCTGAATAAAAGCCGTAACCCCTACGAACAAGGAGACCTGTACCTGGGCAGGGTGCACCTGAACGTGGCCCCGGACCGTGACCCCGACAGCAGGCACTACCTCCCCTCAGGAGCCTACCCCCGCCCGGTCTTTCCCGATTACTGCAGCGGTACGGCCTACGTCCTGTCCCGCTCCGCCTTGCTCAAAATCTCCCTGTCGGCCTCCGTGTCGCCTTTATCTACCCCGCTGCCCCCCGAGGACGTGTTTGTCGGCCTGTGTGCCCGGACGGCGGGGGTGCTCCCCTCACACTGCCCCCTCTTCTCTGGCAGTGCGGGACTCCCCTACGGACGCTGCTGCTACCAGGCCATGGTGTCCGTCCACCACGTCTCCCCCAGGGAGATGCTGCACTTCTGGGCTGACCTGCACTCCTCTTCCTCCTGCTCCTGGCTGACGCAGCGCGCCTCCCTGGGGGTGTGCAAAGTCCGGGGGATGCTCGGGTTGGCCCTGGGGCTGAAGAAGGGGTTGTGAGTGTCGGGGGAGGAGGAGATGGGGGAGGAGGTGGGGGAGGAGGTGGAGGTGGAGGGCTCAGCAGGTCTGTGCCTCCATCAATGCTGTGACCAGAACAAGTGCTCTTTAGACTATGAAGCCACACGGGTGGGGTGGGGGGGTATTTTTGTAGTTTTATTCTAGTGATGGAGAGATGGGGGAGAGAGGAGGGGGAGTCATCAACGTTAGGTTGAATTCAGTGTCGCTCCAGTTGTTCCACCTTCAACATCTGTCTCTCCCAGTGTCACCAGTATGAACCACAGAGAGGGTTTAGATGAAGTAGTACTACAACTGGTACTGAAGTACTCTTCTGTACTGAGGGGTACTTCACTCTATTATTAATACTTTTATTTCATATGTTAGATTATTGGCTGATTCTTTATATATTCATTCAATCATTCATTATTTATTTTTAGCTCAGACCTTCATCACAGATGATGGAATATTCCCTAC